ATAAAAAAAAACTTGACACAAATTGCACTAACAAGCTGGTTTTTGTGACAACGTTTCGCTGTGTAGAGCTTTATCAAGACATTCCGAGGGAATGTTTATACTCGTGGAAGTCATAGTTAGAGGTAGGTGAGCACCGACATTACTTTCCATATGAAGTGTAATCTCTGCATGTTTTGATAGTTTACACAAAGCCTAACACTCGTAAAAAATGTTCTGCAACGTGTGTATTGACTTCATATTTGTTAAAAATATGCCATTTCATTCATCCATGGAAGTGCTTTCCTCATGAATGTAACAGAAACCTGTTAAATATTTTGCATTCTAACATGTTAAGCTTACTTATCGTTCGTTGTTTTATGCGAAATTCTACTCCTGTATACATCTTAATGTTTTTTATTCTTGTGTTTCCAATTGAGAAAGCCTATTCTGAGACCAGGCTGCGGGCGGAGGGGGGCCATGATCCCCGGAAGCATAAATATATCTTGATAAACATTTAAATAGGATTTGGGAAATGAGAGAAAGGGGACGAGTTGGGTGGGGAGGGGTAGTAAGGAGAGTGACGTAGTTATACTTCTCATACATCAGTGTCATGCTCTTGGCTCTGGGGACGAGGAAGACAAGAGTTGTGACGTGATGCTGTTTTGGCTGACTCTCTGGTATGTGGGGGTATGTGGTGGGAGGTGAGGTGCCTTGTAGGGGTAGCGCGTCGAGGTACGGGGGTGTAATTGGGTGGTGGTGGTCTGGAGGTGGTGAGGGAGTGAGAGAGTGACTTCTCAAGATGGATAAAGGGGTGACTTGTGGGATTTTTATTTTTTTTATATTAAAACAGATTTAGATACAATCGTAGTATGCGACTACACTATTTATATAATATAGTTACACGGCGTGAACCGAAGCTAACTATACACAACCCGCGCACATGAGAGAGGAGCTTACGATGATGTTTCGGTCCGACTTGGACCATTTACAAAGTCTGTTCCAGTCACGGTGTTGTGCCCAGCTTGAGCTGGGAGACGAGTAGGACGAAGCTATAGTCAAGTATTCCACTATGTAAGTTTTCTGGTTTAGGACAATATACAAATAATGTTTACAAACGTATTTTTACAATGGTTTTGAGGGCACATAGATGTTCGTTCTTTTATTTTTTTATTGTTAACAATTATGACTGAGTTTTACTATCACTAATGGATGGGTAATGGTTAGGTACTACAAGAAACCCAAAGGAAATAATTCATTTTACTTTTTGGGATTATTCTTGGTAATTTACACACGTTACTATGTAAGACCATTGTAATTCATGTTACTATGTAAGACCATTGTAATTCATCCCTCCCAAAAGTGTGTAATTGTACTTAAACTTAGCAGAGCTGGAGGTGCAGGAGTGTGGTGGTATGCGGATACGTTGACTAGTGGGAGGATGATGATGCTGTGTCCGTTATGGTAACAGTAATGGTATACAATACTGCCAAGTTCATGAACTTTTCAATATTGTATACTGATAGTGCTACCGAATTTCAGGGAGATACATACGATAAGAGCAGCAGTGCAGTAGATCAACTGATTAAGTTGCCCAATTGTACTATTTCCTTTCCATTATCTGCAGTGTTTCTCTGTTCTTAGGTCGCATTTGTCCGTGTCAGTGAGGAAGTTATGGCTGGGAGGGTGACTTAAGTCTGTCCTTGGTGTAGCGAGATGAATGGACCAGTTGATGTGTGTCATTTACGATCGTGGTTGGTTACTGGGTCATGGTAATAGTCGTTAGTGAGTCATGGTAGATGTTAGTTGATCATGTGGTTGTTAGTGGGTCATGCTAATGACCGTTAATTGATTGTGTATTGTTTTAAGTCATACCACTACTGTTAAGTAACAAGCACTGGTATACCTGGAGGTTACCTGGTTACCTCCAGGTAACCTCCAGGTATACCAGTGCTTGTTACTTAACAGTAGTGGTTTTTATTGAATGATGTAGTGGTTGTTAGATCATCGTAGTATTTGCTACATAGTAGTGGGTCGTGTAGTAGTTAAATAATCGTAGTACTTGTTACATAATAGTAGTGACTCGTGTAATGGTTGTTAGATCATCGCAGTACTACTTACATAATTTTAGTGGGTCGTGTAGTAGTTGTTAGACCATCACAGAACTTAGTTACATGATAACATTGAGTTGTGTAGTTGTTAGATCATGATACTGGCTTCTCTACATATGAACGACTGATCAAGACCTCAGTCTTTATCGAGGCTATCGGCAGAAAACAGTACACTACGTCTTGCAATGATAGTTTGAGATAATTGAGGTAACTAGACACTGTACAACTAATACATTAACTTCAGCTACGTTTCTCGTGCCATGAGCTTTGTCAAGCCAATACAATCAATACGATGCATGGTCAGAGGGTATATATCAAGGAAGTAAGGTGTCCCCAAGAGGGACATTGATAGAGGGTAGTAACAGTGGTTGCCGCAGCAGTAGCATAATAGCCTTTGTATATTTGAAATACCCCCTTATCCGTATTTCTGGTGAGCGAAACGTACCCGCAGCAAATGTTTTATTAGTTGCACATGAGTGTTTACCTAACATACCGTTGGTAGTCTTGGCAATAATTAATCAACAGTAGCATAGAAGGCTTTCCTTTTATCCTCCATTCCCTCGGGTAAGTTTATTCAGGTACAGGTACACATAGATACAGTTACATCAATTACCATACATAGCAGCATGTGTAGATTACCTAGGATAACCCCAAACAAGTCTAAGTGGCTTATTTCCACTGGGGGTCACTCCACAGGCTTCAAAATGTAGGGGAAGAAATTTTTAGGCATGGCTGCGAGAGTAGAAAAACTATTGAAATTCGTCACGGGTATGTTTTAGGTTTATCTTTTACACTTTCGCAATTTGGTGACCATAATTGGATAGCTCCTTGAAGCCGAGATCTGACGGTTGATATTTTACCTGATATTTTGTCAACAAAATTTTAGTTATGAAACCTATCGTTGTGTCGGCTATGATGCTCGCAGCTAGACATTGTTTAGTATACTTTAGGGCAGTGTGAATGACTTAGGTCTTTCTCTTTTGTCACCCGTGTAAAGACGTTTCACTCTCTGTAGAGCTTATAAGTCATGACTTTATAAAGCTCTACACAGAGCGAAACGTTGTCCCAATGAAAGCTTGATCTGCAAACGTTGGCATTAGAATTTTTGCTTTGGGTAAGGTTTGTCAGGAAACAGGACATGTGTTTCCTGATGCTGGTCTAAGTCATATGATGACCCCACAGCTGGAGCTTTTGCTCACCTGACCTTCTGTACATTTTCTAGATCTGCAATTTCATTCGCCTTGAGAGAAGTGACTTCAAGAGCATCATCATTGACATGGCTCACCTGCATCTTTAGCTGCCATCTGTATTCCCTGGATTCCTTTCTCATGCTTACTAGTTGGAGTTCTTAACCTCTGTATCGTGTGTTTCCTCTCGGTTCCAGCTGTTAATCTTGTATGTGATCGTTTGCTGGGATTTGAAGCTTTTCTGTTTCTCTGTTTGCTTGACCAGGTGCAGGTATCATGCATACTCAATAATGAGCCTAATGGACGTTGTATATTTTGGCTTAAATATATCCTTGTTTAGATTTCTGAAAGTTTTTAGATTAGTTTTGCACATGACGATGTTATGCGATTTATGTGCTTCAGCGATATGCTTGATGCAGTGCTTACTCCCAGATCTTGTGTATACAGTATTGGGATCACATTTGCAGCTCTTTATCTGTCGGGAAGTTGCCCTTATTGTATCTTTGCCAAAGACAGATGTGCGTGAGTGCTCACCGAGTTATACTCGCCAAGTTGTTTGTTGGGATTTAAATTTAGCTACTACAGGCTCCGTCTCCTAAACTACTTTGATCGACATTACTGATTTATGACCTGTTGAACCATATTATATCTACTGTATCCTTGAAGCTGTTCATTGAGTTTGCCTCCATCACTGACTCGTCCAAGACAGTTGCACTTTTCAACTATTTAGACTAATGAATATATACTTCTTTACATCTTTCTTCATCTTTCATCTGTCTCTAATTAATCGTAAGTCCTTATAATTCGAACAATGTCCCCATTTACACTCAATTCCTAATATTTTGTATGTCATAATCATAGTCTTCCCTGAACCTTCTCTCTGCCTGGAGTTTTAAGACTCACTCGCCATGGGTTTAACCCCACCCGTACCCTGATTTGTAATCTTGTTATTACGATTTCGTGAGGTATTTTACTCAGTTTTAGTAACAGCTTGATTGATCAGGAAAGCACCAGGCAAGCCTAGCCCAGGGCCGGGCTGCCAGAGTAAGAATACTCTTGAAACCCTTCAAATGTATATCAAAGGTATAGCTGCATGCCTTTGCCTTATTTATTAGTGGTATACTCTGATTAACCTAACATATATATATAAAGTTTGTGATATTTGCAGCTTGTCCCAATCCATGCTGTAATGTGTTCGGTCTACCCTCAACTCCAAATCTCAGTACCTCTCATTTGTTTAGGTTGAACTCTGGAATCCACTTGGTTTGACCACATCTGTTGTGTGTTGAGGTCTCCATTGAGTTGATAACTGTCTTCTGCTCTTATTCTTACCATAAATTTTACATCAGCAATCAGTGACGCACAAGACTCGGTCCCCACTGGTATGTTCGTGCATATAAAGAATAGTAGCAGTCCTATATTGATCCTTGCGGGACCCTAATCATTACTCTCCAGCTCTGATGTCTCTTCTCTCACTGTTACTCTATGCCATTCAGGTACCTCCTGACTCTGGAACACTCTGCATTTTAACCCTGTCCTTTCCTCTTATTTCTTTACTGATTTATAGTGTGATGCTGTGTATGAAGCTGCAGCTCACCCAGTCCTATTTTGTTTGATCTTTATGACTTTGTCAGAGAACTCCAGCGAAACCGCAGAGGGGATTTTCTACCCTATATGGGAGCACATTAGCTTTTTTTTTTTTCAATTTAATGGCAATTGCCCTAATTAGAGAGATTGGTTGAAGACCTATCTAGGGAGTCACACTGGTTCTGCTTCTCTCAGTACCCGTGGAGAGAGTTTGTGTGACCCTATTGCTTTTGTTACATTAAGGGGGGGGGTGTATTTATTAGAGCCCTCACTGACTGTTGTATCTCCCACAGCTCCAACAGATGACGACGCACCCTGACATATTGCGGCTGCTGCCGGAGTCTTGGCTGACGCCGCCACAGCAGTTGACCGCCGCCTCGCTCGCAGACATGTGGAACAAGTTCGATATCGAGCCAGACCGCTCCCTGGCCCTGCCCAGCTCCGAGCCCATGATAGACCACAACATCGCCTTCACGTCAGACATGGGCAACTTCATGTGTGATAAGGTGAATCAGAATATGGGTGCCCCGCCCACCCCACCACACTCCCCTCCCACAGAGCATGACCTGGACGACCTGGTGGCTTCTATACCCGAAATCCTTGAGTCCCCGTCTGCCACTCCTCCATCAGATATCAGCGATATCCTGAATGATCTGGAAGGTATGGAGATGGCGCCCATGTTCCGGGCGCCCGGGTACTCCTGGTGGGCACCAGTGGCATCTCCAGTACCCGAAGTGTCCCTGAAACGAGACATAATGTGGGGCGGAGGGACGTGTAGTGCCGCCTTGCTGGAGCCGCCGATAAAGAAGGAACGAAACTTGTCTGAATGTTCGTCCGACGCAGTACTCAGAGAGGCACTGAGACAGGACGACATCTCTGAAGACGACGACGACGACGAAGACAACCTGCCCGACACGCCCTCCGGTACCGACAGTGATTGTGACGCTGATGACCACATGAGCGAGACGTGGAGCAATAGTGGCAGCCCCAGGAGTACAAACAGTGCCTCGTGGTATAGCAGCAGCAGTGCCGCCTTCAGGAACAATACCAGTGCCTCTTACGTGCCTCCCTCAGTGAACATTGAACACAACTATTGTGGCAGAGTACCCGAACCTTCCAACCACTTAGCGGGTATTATCACTCCCTCAGACACTGGTAAGTAGTTATCTTTCCCTGTTGTCTTCTTTGTTATCTTGTCAACTTGTCATACTCCCTTGTCATGTTCTCTTGTCATATTCTTTTATCACATTCTCTTGTCATCTTCCCTTGTAACGTTCCCTTGTCATCTTCCCTTGCCACATTCCCTTGCCACGTTCCCTTGTCATCTTCCCTTGCCACGTTCCCTTGTCATCTTCCCTTGCCACGTTCCCTTTCATCTTCCCTTGCCACGTTCCCTTGTCATCTTCCCTTGCCACGTTCCCTTGTCATCTTCCCTTGCCACTTCCCTTGCCACGTTCCCTTGCCATCTTCCCTTGCCACGTTCCCTGTCATCTTCCCTTGCCACGTTTCCCTTGTCATCTTCCCTTGCCACGTTCCCTTGTCCACCTTCCCATGCCACGTTCCCTTGTCACCTTCCCATGCCACGTTCCCTTGTCATCTTCCCTTGCCACGTTCCCTTGTCATCTTCCCTTGCCACGTTCCCTTGTCATCTTCCCTTGCCACGTTCCCTTGTTATCTTCCCTTGCCACGTTCCCTTGTCATCTTCCCTTGCCACTTCCCTTGTCATCTTCCCTTGCCACGTTCCCTTGTCATCTTCCCTTGCCACGTTCCCTTGTCATCTTCCCTTGCCACGTTCCCTTGTCATCTTCCCTTGCCACGTTCCCTTGTCATCTTCCCTTGCCACGTTCCCTTGTCATCTTTTGCCACATTTCCTTGTCATCTTCCCTTGCCACGTTTCATTGTCATCTTCCCTTGCCACGTTCCCTTGCCATCTTCCCTTGTAACGTTCCTTGTCATCTTCCCTTGCCACTTCCCCTGTCATCTTCCCTGCCACGTTCCCTTGTCATCTTCCCTAGCCACGTTCCCTTGTCATCTTACATTGTAATGTTTCTGCCATTTTCCCAAGTTATTTTCCCTTGTCATTTTCCCCTGTCATGTTTCCTTATGTTCCCTTGTCATCTTCCCTTGCCACGTTCCCTTGTCATCTTCCCTTGCCACGTTCCCTTGTCATCTTCCCTTGCCACGTTCCCTTGTCATCTTCCTTTGCCACATTTCCTTGTCATCTCCCTTGCCACGTTTCATTGTCATCTTCCCTTGCCATCTTCCCTTGTAACGTTCCCTTGTCATCTTCCCTTGCCACGTTCCCTTGTCATCTTCCCTTGCCATCTTCCCTTGCCACGTTCCCTTGTCATCTTCCCTTGCCACATTCCCTTGTCACCTTCTCATGCCCACGTTCCCTTGTCATCTTCCTTGTCACATTTCCTTGTCACCTTCCCATGCCACGTTCCCTTGTCATTTCCGTTGCCACATATCCTTGTCATCTTCCCTTGCCCACGTTCCCTTGTCATCTTCCTTGCCACTTCCCTTGTCATCTTCCCTTGCCACGTTCCCTTGTCATCTTCCCATGCCACGTCCCCTTGTCATCTTCCCTTGCCAGTTCCCTTGCCATCTCCCTTGTAACGTTCCCTTGTCATCTTCCTTGCCACGTTCCCCTGTCATCTTCCCTTGCCACGTTCCCTTGTCATCTCCCTTGCCACGTCCCTTGCCATCTTACATTGTAATGTTTCTCTGCCATTTTCCCAAGTTATTTTCCCTTGTCATTTTCCCCTGTCATATTTCCTTATGTTCCCTTGTCATCTTCCTTGCCACTTTCCCTTGTCATCTTCCCTTGCCACGTTCCCTTGTCATCTTCCTGCCACGTTCCCTTTTCATCTTCCTTGCCACATTTCCTGTCATCTTCCCTTGCCACGTTTCATGTCATCTTCCCTTGCCACGTTCCCTGCCATCTTCCCTGTAAACGTTTCCCTTGTCATCTTCCCTTGCCATTCCCCTGTCATTCTTCCCTTGCCACTTAACCTTGTCATCTTCCTTTGCCACGTTCCCTTGTCATCTTACAATTGTAAAGTTTCTGTCATTTTCAAGTTATTTCCCTTGTCATTTTCCCCTGTCATGTTTCCTTATGTTCCCTTGTCAACTTACCTTGTTATCTTATATTTCCCTCACCTTCCCTTGTCAACTTACCTTGTTATCTTGTATTTCCCTCACCTTCCCTTGTCATCTTACCTTATCTTATATTTCCCTCACCTTCCCTTGTCAACTTACCTTGTTATCTTATATTTCCCTCACCTTCCCTTGTCATCTTACCTTATCTTATATTTCCCTCACCTTCCCTTGTCATCTTACCATTTGGCCATAAAAAATACATTATGTAGATTTGACCTAGGATAACCCAGGTTAACTCGATACAGTAAGAGACTGTGATTTATTTCCAATATATTCGCCTTTGTCTCTCTCCAGGCTTTACTTATGCAGTTATTTTTTTTCATTACTGAAGTGACTTGCTTTAGTTATGAAAATAATCCTCCCCAGCGCCGCTGGTGGCGGTGCAAGAGTACACCTCCTGCCATCTGTTGAGTACGACGGAAAGTAACCGCACCATGTTGCCAGAACCGGTTGGCAGGGGACACACACACACACACACACACACACACACACACACACACACACACACACACACACACACACACACACACACACCACACACACACACACACACATACACATGAGATTTAAGGAAGTATTTTCAGTGGAGACAGAAAGGGCTCCAGAAAGTCGGAATGTTGGGGTACACCTGCAAGTGCTGGACACACTACACACAATCGAGGAGGAGGTAAAGAGGCTGTTAAGTGAGCTAGATACTTCAAAGGCGGTGGGACCGGACAGCATCTCTCAGTGGGTCCTGAGAGAGAGAGAGAGAGAGAAAGAGAGAGCAGAGGCGGTGTGTGTGCCACTAACAACAATCTTCAACACATCTATCGAAACTGGGCAACTGTCTGAGGCGTGGAAGACAACAAATGTAGTCCCAATTTGTAAGAAAGGAGACACAAATAACATTAAGCTACAGACCAGTGCTACTGATGTGTATAGTATGCAAAATCATAGAGAAGATTATCAGAGTGGTGGAGCACCTAGAAAGGAATGAGCTGATACACGACAACCAGCATGGTTTCAGGGAAGGAAAATCCTGTCACAAACCTGCTGGAGTTTTACGACAAGGATACGGAAGACGAGAGAGATGGGTGGGTAGATTGCATTTTCTTAACTGTAAGAAGGCTTTTAACAAAGTTCCACACAAGAGATTGGTGCAAAAGCTAGAGTAGCAGACAGGAATAACAGATAAGGTACTGCAGTGGATCAGGGAATACCTAACAGGAAGGAAACAAGGAGTGATGAGTGATGGTACGCGATAAGGTGTCAGAGTCGGCGCCTGTGACGAGCGGGGTTCCACAGGGGTCAGTCCTAGGGCCGGTGCTGTTTCTGGTATATGAGAATGACACGACGGAAGGAATAGATTCAGAGGTGTCCCTGTTTTTAGACGATATCAGGCTAATGCGAAGAATTCAATCAGACGAGGATCAGGTAGGACTACAAAGGGATCTGGACAGACTGCAAGCTTGGTCCAGCAACTGGTTCTTGGAGTTTAACCCCACCAAATGCGAAGTCATGAAGATTGGGGAAGGTCAAAGACCGCAGACAGAATACAGGCTAGGGGGCCGAAGACTGCAAACCTTACTCAAGGAAAAGGATCTCGGAGTATAATACCGAGCACATCTGAGGCGCACATCAACTAAATAACTGCTGCGGCATTTGGACGCCTGGCAAACCTAAGAACAGCGTTTTGGCACCTTAGTAAGGAATGGTTCAAGCCTTTGTACACCGTGTACGTCAGACCCATATTGGAGTATGCAACACCAATTTGGAACCCACACCTGGTCATGCACGTCAAGAAATTAGAGAGTGCAAAGGTTTGCAACACGACTAGTCCCGGAGCTAAGGGGCATGTCCTACGAGGAGAGGTTAAGGGAAATCGACCTGACGACACTGGACAGGTGGGGTAGGGATGATGATAACGACTTATAGAATGCTGGGAGTAATTGACAAGGTGGACAGGGACAGGATGTTTCAGAGATGGGACATAGCAACAAGGGGTCATAATTGGAAGTTGAAAACTCAGATGAATCACGGGAATGTTAGGAAGTATTTCTTCAGTCACAGAGTCGTTAGGAAGTGGAACAATCTGGAGAGTGAGGTAGTGGGGGCAGGATCCATACATACCTTTAAGAGGTACAATAAAGCTCATGGAGCAGGGAGAGAGTGGACGTAGTAGCTGTCAGTGAAGAGGCGGGGCCACGAGCTATGATTCGACCCCTGAAACCATAAATAGGTGAGTACACAGAGAGAATCACTCGTGCAAATCTTCCACTGTGAAAAAAATAAAAATAAAAAGAGCTGAATAAACACAGTAAAGCGCTCAGGTGTTTTAATTGCTTTATTCTTCACTGTTAGTTTTTAGAAAGACTTGGTATACTATCTTTATTAACACAGTAATGGAAGTAGTATACTTTCGTAGTAACATATCATCACTTAGTATCATACTGTCGTCATTAATACTTGATTTGATGTGTTATACTATCTTGATATAAAAGGTATCTATATTAAGTTTTCAGGGGTCAGTGCCCTCCGCGGCCCGGTCCCAGACCAGGTTGCAGAGGGTCTGTGTGTACCTCTCAAGGAGGGGGTGAGGGGGGTGTCTTGATGCCAGTGATTGGTTTCTTGATCTAAGCATTGTATCCCTTTTCTCCTGCCTTAGATGTAATCTTGATTGCCTGGCAGTCTTCAGTCGTTCTGTGGTTTTTACGGGACTAGTGCTTCCCCGTGATAATAATAATAATAATAATAATAATCCCTTCCTCTTCCATTACCTCCTACATTTTCCCTTACTTCTCTTTGTACTTTTTTCCCCTTTTCCTTTAACCTCTCCTTCCTATCGCCTTACCTCTCCTCCCCTTTTCCGTATCTCTTTTTCCCTAACCACCTCTTCATTTTACCTCCTCCCTATTTACTTAACTTTTTTTCTTTTCTCATACCTCTTCTCCCTCTTTATCTTCGTCTCTCATTACTCTTTATATATCCTGCCTTTTTCGTTACATCTTCCT